AGAACGAGAATAGCCAGTTACAAAATCATAATGACGCATGTTCATGACATCATGAGCTTCCGACTTAGCCCAATGTTCAGATATGCACAATAAGTCTGGTTTATAGTGGGCAGCTAAAACCTCTAGTTTATTAAATTTGTTCATAATAAATTCAGCATTTACATGAATAATCTTCAAACTTTCTGATGATAACGTTGAGGACTCTTGATTGAAAAACAAATATCTTGACTCACATCACTTGCCCGCACACTTGACACATCAGACACACAGTTATCACGTAACTCACGAGATGATGACCCAATACCATCGTGGAGGGTGCACGTGTAGAGGCTTTCACGAGGAAGAGTTGTCGGTAGCTTTACCCAAAGATCCAGAGACCTTGGTGGATGAGCAGTGGAATCCAAGGGATTATGTGCGTTGTTTCCGGTAGTGGATGAATTCCCTGAGTTTATCGGTATGATGTTAGACATATTCACAGATTTAGTCACCATCATAGTGAATAGTGTTCCTTCAGAACTCTGCGCTTACCATTATTATTCATATGAAGACCATGTTTAGTGAAATGACAAGATTTTAAGAGTTTTTCAACGTCAATACGCTGAATAGTTGTACCCATGATAACATTTTGATATTTCGCCAAAAAGGAGCAGATAATAATATAACATTCGTTCTTTTTGAGCAGTCTTTCAAGCCCATCATGTTAGACGGGTTCAAACTACATCCCTTTATTACATCGTTGCTTCTGCCACAAATTACCACATAGTCGTTGTATTGAAAGATGGCCGTCAATTTCTCAATATCCTCAGTAACTTGTGATAATGTAGCATTTGGTTTGAAAATACTACCGATTTCATAACGGGGGTCATTCAAAACCCGTTCCAGAATGACCATCATTCTCATTCTCATAGTTACCTATTAAATAAGCTTTCCTATGGTAGGTATTGATGTTAGAGTATAGGAATCTGATATTATCCATTGGACGGTTGTGGTATTGTTGCTTGTTTTCTATCCAAATCAAGCATAATAATGTACAAGTAGCTTCCCGAGAAGATACGTTTTTTTTGACATTTCGACTTTTTATCATTAACCCATTTAGTCCCAAGCTGCTTTATGTTTAAAAAAATTGATTTTTTTATACTTTTCCTTAAGATAAGATGGAATGAAGAGTATAAAAATGTACACAGATGTTTGAAACAAAAAATTGTTTTTGAGGTATGAGATGGTGCAAAAATGCACCACTGGTTCATCCACTGGTTCTGATTCTTCTACGAGGTTTAGAGTCGTGATTCTTTATTAAATGGTCATTGGAAGATTCAAATTCTCTGTTTGACCTCGTGTTTCGTTCAGTATTAGGTGTTGCGTTTTCATATTTCATTAGACGAACTGCAATATGTGATTTAAAATCCAATTGGGCCAGTTTAGTATTATTGATAGTATTGTATAATTTCCACGCGTTTATTATGACACTATCCAATGAATTAATAAATAGTGGCCACCACCACTTCTTTCCTAATACTCTTGTTCTATAGTTGGCTATTCCGTTATCGTGTAAATCTACACCACCCATGAATTTATTATATTCTGATACCGCATAAGGTTGATTAACTAGTGTTTCCTTTTTTTTCTTTCTGTTGTACCTTTAATTGATTGTATTGGCTCCACATTCAAATGGTTAGTAATTACAGTGACAACGGAGTTATCATTCCATCGTACTAAAGAAATTTTTGAACAGGTATCATAAGCTGTATCAAAAAAACCCCTTTCCTTCTTTGAAGTACATTTTATGTTTTCTAACGGACAANAATCAAAATCAAAAATCGAAGGGAAGAAATTTTAAAGATAAAAAACGTTCTAAATGAACCCAAGAAACTATTGATAACAACTATTATCATCCCTGGTTGGTAATTATTAAGCTAAGATAAAAAACTTAAAATTCTCAAATTTGGCATTTCAACATCATAATTATTAATATATCAAAAACGAAAAGCGAGGGGAGAAAACGGTTTAAATAAAAAATGTTTTAAATTAACATAAAAAACGATCAGTAAAGAGTATTTTCACACATCATTGAAAAACCTGAAATTCTCAAAATTGATGTTTCCACAACAAATCTTAAATAATCGAAAATTAAGAGAGATGGGATGAAATGTTTTAAATAAAAAAAGTTCTAATTTAACCTTAATAACGAGTAATTAAAACCATTTACACATATCGTTCATAACCAAAAATTTAGAAGGGTAAAAAACACTAAATTCCGGAAATTGGCGTTTTCAACGTTATAATCCTTAATAGATCATAAACTAAAAGCGGAAGGGAGAAATGTTACAGATAAAAAAGGATCTAAATTAGCTTAAAAAATGATTAGTAAAAATTAATTTCATCCATTGTTGATTGTTACCAACTTAGAAGGATAATAGCTTAAAATTCATAAANAGATCATAAACTAAAAGCGGAAGGGAGAAATGTTACAGATAAAAAAGGATCTAAATTAGCTTAAAAAATGATTAGTAAAAATTAATTTCATCCATTGTTGATTGTTACCAACTTAGAAGGATAATAGCTTAAAATTCATAAAATTTGCGTTTTTAGTGCTATATTTATTAATAAATCAAAATCTAAAATCGAAGGGAAGAAATTTTAAAGATAAAAAACGTTCTAAATGAACCCAAAAAACTGTTCATAAAGACCATTATCACCCCTCGTTGGTAATTATTAAGCTAAGATAAAAAACTCAAAATTCTCAAATTTGGCATTTCAACATCATAATTATTAATATATCAAAAACTAAAAGCGAGGGGAGAAAACGGTTTAGATAAAAAATGTTTTAAATTAACATAAAAATCGATTAGTAAAGAGTATTTTCACTCATCATTGAAAAACCTGAAATTCTCAAAATTGATGTTTCCACAACAAAATCTCAAATAATCGAAAATTAAGAGAGATGGGATGAAATCTTTTAAATAAAAAAAGGTCTAATTTAACCTTAATAACGAGTAATTAAAACCATTTACTCTTATCGTTCGTAATCAAAATTTAGAATGGTGAAAAACACTAAATTCCGGAAATTCGCGTTTTCAACGTTATAATCCTTAATAGATCAAAACCAAAAAGCGGAAGGGAGAAATGTTACAGATAAAAAAGGTTCTAAATTAGCTTAAAAAATGATTAGTAAAAATTAATTTTATCCATCGTTGATTGTTACCAACTAAGAAGGATAGAAACTTAAAATTCATAAAATTACCGTTTTTAGAGCTATATTTATTAATAAATCAAAATCTAAAATCGATGGGAAGAAATTTTAAAAATAAAAAACGTTCTAAATGAAATCAAGAAACTATTGATAAAAACTATTATCATCCCGGATTGGTAATTATTAAGCTAAGATAAAAAACTCAAAATTCTCAAATTTGGCATTTCAACATCATAATTATTAATATATCAAAAACTAAAAGCGAGGGGAGAAAACGGTTTAAATAAAAAATGTTTTAAATTAACATAAAAAACGATCAGTAAAGAGTATTTTCTCTCATCATTGAAAAACCTGAAATTCTCAAAATTGATGTTTTCACAACAAATCTAAAATAATCGAAAATTAAGAGAGATGGGATGAAATGTTTTAAATAAAAAAAGTTCTAATTTAACCTTAATAACGCGTAATTAAAACCATTTGCACTTATCGGTCATAATCAAAAATTTAGAACGGTGAAAAACACTACATTCCGGAAATTGGCGTTTTCACCGTTATAATCCTTAATAGATCAAAACCAAAAAGCGGAAGGGAGAAATGTTACAGATAAAAAAAGTTATAAATTAGCTTAAAAAATGATTAGTGTAAATTAATTTCATCCATCGTTGATTGTTACCAACTTAGAAGGATAAAAGCTTTATTATTATAGATCAAAACCAAAAAGCGGAAGGGAGAAATGTTACAGATAAAAAAGGTTCTAAATTAGCTTAAAAAATGATTAGTAAAAATTAATTTTATCCATCGTTGATTGTTACCAACTAAGAAGGATAGAAACTTAAAATTCATAAAATTACCGTTTTTAGAGNTATCTCTTCATACATCGTCCCAATGGTGCGTTTTTGCACCATTAATGTTTCAAGTCGTATTTTCAGAATCCATATTTTTATTTCGCGTTTCAAGATATATATGAGGCAAGTATGCACTAAAAACTTGCAAATGAAAAAATTTTGAAGAGTTTTATGCACTAAAAATAGTTTTATTTTGATTGTATATTTTGAACAGAAATGTTCAATAGAAAAGAATTGATGTAAATATGGTTTAAATAGCAAGAATTATGAAATATTTTGATGTATAGCCTAACAACCTTATACTGTTATCGTACAAACAGCAAACACCTTTAAATTTGGAAATGTATGGCTGTAAAATAATTTTAAAAACGCTGGTGCGTTTTTACACAAGTGGGACTAAATGGGTTAATGAGGTTACGTTAAAAGTATAGGTTAACTTTGAAATTTTTTTTCTTAAAAACGAATCAATTCTTCTTTTAGAAGATAAGGTTTCTTTAATATTTCTTGTTTCAACAAAATTTTATACTCTATCACCTCAAATTATACTCTAGTTAGTAAATAAGAAAAAAAAAATTGTATATAAAGTGCTTTGTTGTACATTAACGAATTAGACGTTTTGTGGAAAAGAAATATCAACGAAACTACTTGATTAAAACGCCCCCCATCTGTATGAAAACGTTTTTATTAAATCCAGCCTGGCGGCTTAATATTTCTAATTTCCTCTCCGTGCGATCCCTGTGCGAAAAAGGCAATTGCCTCGGGTACAGTGGCAGCGTTACTATGTTAATCAGGATATTGAGCGCACGTGATGCAATAGTGCGGGGTCGTGTCCACGTTCTGACCTGAACGTAGAACGTATAACGGAGGAAAGCCTGGTTATTATATAAAGCACGTGGTGGTCAACCAGCTGCGTCAATAAATTCGTCAATATCACCACGATCTAATTGGGTTTATTTTTTTTATAGCGCCAACAGGTAAACCAACTATTACCACAGCTCACAATACATCTTCCACGTCTCTACACATCAGTTGGAGGCCGCCACACCGTGACACCATCCACGGCGAATTTCTAGGCTACCGTATCTCTTATCGACCACGAGATAGAAGCCCGGACACCAGCAAGGAAATCTACATTAGGGATCCCGCCGTCGAGGTAAATTTTACCCCCATAACAATCACCATAGAATATCCAATCTCCATCCCCGTCCCCTTTTCAGCGTTCCACACTTTTCAATCGACAATCTGCTTCGCATCTCTTTTATCCCAAAGGAACTTCTTAAAATTTTCAAGACTTTTCTTTATTCTAAAAAAATCCAATATTTCAAAGAAAATTTGATTTGATTTATTTAGCAGTTTTCACACTCGGTGATTACAATGTTTACACTGGAAGAAGTAAAATGAAACTCTTAACACTTTTTTTAGTTCGCTACTGCAATCTTCTTTTAGTTTCAGTTTCTCAATACAACTTGGAAAGAATTTGTCCAATAGCCGGTAGAGTTAGATTAGTAGGTAGCTCGTCTGGTCATACGGTAATCAGCTTTTGAAGTGGATACGGTCGGGGGGGCAAAAAAGGGTCCAAAATTGAACCGTAGACTGTGGCAATCCTGGTGCGTCTGGTGGCTTTCGCAACTCGTTTCATGGCTCGTGGGAAATCAAAGAAAACAGGCCGGCTCTTGCTAATCCAGATCCCGGTGTCCACTAATAGTGTTCCGGGCGCCCTCCCGTCTGTTTTGATTCGGAATCGCCGACAGGGGGCGGTCGGAGCGCGTGCCTAATTGAGCTTTATTGCAACCGCTTCAGAATTAATACATAAAAATTACCGGTACCCATAGCAATTTACAACTGCATGTATATGATTAAAATTTAAGCAAAAATCCCGGCGGTTCCACCATTAATTAAAATTAGACGACGTTGGACTTCCAAGCACAATATGCTTCCCTCAATCCATTATAATCCATGGCAGACAATCGTCGGTCGCGGCAACAAGCCTTAACCCCTTTCCATTTACATCCGCCGATTTGTTGCAGAGCCATACCATACAGAATCTGGAGACCTACACCCAGTACCTCGTCACACTCGAGGTGTTTAATCCAGAAGGACTGGGCCCCAGCACGACAGTCCTGGTAATGACTGATGAAGGAGGTAAGTGGTCCATTTCCGCTAGCGAGGGCCCCGACTCCCTCCGGGGACGGCGCCGCCACCGCGCACCACCGCCATCCTGGCGCCCGTACTTACACAAATGAAAGTTCATATGTCCCACACGGCGATAGTGGCCGTACAGTGCCTAAGTATATTTATTTCTTACGATACGTGACAGTTTACGCCATTTTTCATTCCCGTTTATATTCGTTACTTAAGCGGAATGCCTCGTTTGTCACGCGACGTGGTAAATAGCGTTTTACAAAATGGAAACTTCTAAAAAATTAAACCAGAAACATCAACTTATCAAAAATGTATTAAAACTAATTAATTACCGTACCCGACGTTATCATTTCAATTATGCAACCAATATCGCAAATCGCGTATTACAATACCAATATTGTGATATTGGTTGCATACTTGCAATGATGACGTTGGGTACGATAATTAATTAACTAAGTTTATATATAATTATAAGTGGAAAAAGTTTCAAGTGCGAAAACGATTTAAACCTAAACAGAAACCGAAACGCGTGTCCTAATTGATTTTTAACTTCAATTTAACAGATGGCGCAGATGTTCTCTTCGCAACTCGGGGAAAATATGGCCCGTCCGGCTCGTTTATATTTATGTGTGGCCCGTAACGATCGCGGAATTCCGGCGAGTCGGTATTAAAGGCTGCGATATTCAGATCGAACAGTTCTAAATCGAATTCTGGCCCACCTTCACGTCCGCGGCGGCCGCTTCGATCGTCAGCTGTAAATCACCCGGTTTATTACACTTGGGTCCAACTGATTTGCGCATAAATTGACCGCCTTATTTTTATTTCAAAGCAAATTATGAGTAATAGTCCTTCAGGATATCTGTCACAATATCTAGATTTATAGTCAATCTTATTCTATGATTGTACGTTCGAAATATATTCACATCTAAAGCATAAGTATGAGAAAATATTGTCTTTGTTCCAAAAATATGAACACTTTAAAAATAGCATTCATATCTTTTTATATCAACATATAAAGCCGATTATAAAGTAAATTTTAAATACATTTTTAACCTAAAACACAAAAAACCGAAATTTTCAAAATTCATGTTTCCACAACAAAATCTAAAATATATCGAAAAGTAAGAGAAATGCGATGAAACGTTTCAAATAAAAAAAGTTGTAAATTAACCTTGATAACGAGTAATTAAAACCATTTACACTTATCGTTATAATCAAAAATTTAGAAGGGTGAAAAACACTAAATTCCGGAAATTGGCGTTTTCAACGTTATAATCCGTAATAGATCAAAACTAAAAAGCGGAAGGGAGAAATGTTACAGATAAAAAACGTTCTAAATTAGCGTAAAAAATGATTAGTAAAAATTAATTTCATCCATCGTTGATTGTTACCAACATAGAAGGAGAGAAACGTAAAATTTATAAAATTTGCGTTTTTAGAGCTATATTTATTAATAAATCAAAATCTAAAATCGAAGGGAAGAAATTTTAAAGATAAAAAACGTTCTAAATGAACCCAAGAAACTATTGATAACAACTATTATCATCCCTGGTTGGTAATTATTAAGCTAAGATAAAAAACTCAAAATTCTCAAATTTGGCATTTCAACATCATAATTATTAATACATCAAAAACTAAAAGCGAGGGGAGAAAATTGTTTAGATAAAAAATGTTTTAAATTAACATAAAAAACGATTAGTAAAGAGTATTTTCACACATCATTGAAAAACCTGAAATTCTCAAAATTGAGGTTTCCACAACAAAATCTCAAATAATCGAAAATTAAGAGAGATGGGATGAAATGTTTTAAATAAAAAAAGTTCTAATTTAACCTTAATAACGAGTAATGAAAACCATTTACACTTATCGTTCGTAATAAAAAATTTAGAAGGGTGAAACACACCAAATTCCGGAAATTGGCGTTTTCAACGTTATAATCCTTAATAGATCAAAACCAAAAAGCGGAAGGGAGAAATGTTACAGATAAAAAACGTTTTAAATTAACGTAAAAAATGATTAGTAAAAATTAATTTCATCCATGGTTGATTGTTACCAACTTAGAAGGATAAAAGCTTAAAATTCATAAAATTAGCGTTTTTAGAGCTATATTTATTAATAAATCAAAATCTAAAATCGAAGGGAAGAAATTTTAAAAATAAAAACGTTCTAAATGAACCCAAGAAACTATTGATAAAAACTATTATCATCCCCGGTTGGTAATTATGAAGCTAAGATAAAAAACTCAAAATTCTCAAATTTGGCATTTCAACATCATAACTATTAATAAATCAAAAACTAAAAGCGATAGGAGAAAACGGTTTAGATAAAAAATGTTTTAAATTAGCATAAAAAACGATTAGTAAAGAGTATTTTCACTCATCATTGAAAAACCTGAAATTCTCAAAATTGATGTTTCCACAACAAAATCTCAAATAATCGAAAATTAAGAGAAATGGGATGAAATGTTTTAAATAAAAAAAGTTCTAATTTAACCTTAATAACAAGTAATTAAAACCATTTACACTTATCGCTCATAATCAAAGATTTAGAAGGGTGAAAAACACTAAATTCCGGAAATTGGCGTTTTCAACGTTATAATCCTTAATAGATCATAAACTAAAAGCGGAAGGGAGAAATGTTACAGATAAAAAAGGATCTAAATTAGCTTAAAAAATGATTAGTAAAAATTAATTTCATCCATCGTTGATTGTTACTAACTTAGAAGGATAAAAGCTTAAAATTCATAAAATTTGCGTTTTTAGTGCTATATTTATTAATAAATCAAAATCAAAAATCGAAGGGAAGAAATTTTAAAGATAAAAAACGTTCTAAATGAACCCAAGAAACTATTGATAACAACTATTATCATCCCTGGTTGGTAATTATTAAGCTAAGATAAAAAACTCAAAATTCTCAAATTTGGCATTTCAACATCATAATTATTAATATATCAAAAACGAAAAGCGAGGGGAGAAAACGGTTTAAATAAAAAATGTTTTAAATTAACATAAAAAACGATCAGTAAAGAGTATTTTCACACATCATTGAAAAACCTGAAATTCTCAAAATTGATGTTTCCACAACAAATCTTAAATAATCGAAAATTAAGAGAGATGGGATGAAATGTTTTAAATAAAAAAAGTTCTAATTTAACCTTAATAACGAGTAATTAAAACCATTTACACATATCGTTCATAACCAAAAATTTAGAAGGGTAAAAAACACTAAATTCCGGAAATTGGCGTTTTCAACATTATAATCCTTAATAGATCATAAACTAAAAGCGGAAGGGAGAAATGTTACAGATAAAAAAGGATCTAAATTAGCTTAAAAAATGATTAGTAAAAATTAATTTCATCCATTGTTGATTGTTACCAACTTAGAAGGATAATAGCTTAAAATTCATAAAATTTGCGTTTTTAGTGCTATATTTATTAATAAATCAAAATCTAAAATCGAAGGGAAGAAATTTTAAAGATAAAAAACGTTCTAAATGAACCCAAAAAACTGTTCATAAAGACCATTATCACCCCTCGTTGGTAATTATTAAGCTAAGATAAAAAACTCAAAATTCTCAAATTTGGCATTTCAACATCATAATTATTAATATATCAAAAACTAAAAGCGAGGGGAGAAAACGGTTTAGATAAAAAATGTTTTAAATTAACATAAAAATCGATTAGTAAAGAGTATTTTCACTCATCATTGAAAAACCTGAAATTCTCAAAATTGATGTTTCCACAACAAAATCTCAAATAATCGAAAATTAAGAGAGATGGGATGAAATCTTTTAAATAAAAAAAGGTCTAATTTAACCTTAATAACGAGTAATTAAAACCATTTACTCTTATCGTTCGTAATCAAAATTTAGAATGGTGAAAAACACTAAATTCCGGAAATTCGCGTTTTCAACGTTATAATCCTTAATAGATCAAAACCAAAAAGCGGAAGGGAGAAATGTTACAGATAAAAAAGGTTCTAAATTAGCTTAAAAAATGATTAGTAAAAATTAATTTTATCCATCGTTGATTGTTACCAACTAAGAAGGATAGAAACTTAAAATTCATAAAATTACCGTTTTTAGAGCTATATTTATTAATAAATCAAAATCTAAAATCGAAGGAAAGAAATTTTAGAGATAAAAAACGTTCTAAATGAACCAAAGAAACTATTTATAAAAACCATTATCATGCCCCGTTGGTAATTATTAAGTTAAGATAAAAAACTCAAAATTCTCAAATTTGGCATTTCAACATCATAATTATTAATAAATCAAAAACTAAAAGCGAGGGGAGAAAACGGTTTAGATAAAAAATGTTTTAAATTAGCATAAAAAACGATTAGTAAAGAGTATTTTCACTCATCATTGAAAAACCTGAAATTCTCAAAATTGATGTTTCCACAAGAAAATCTTAAATAATCGAAAGTTAAGAAAATTTAATAACAAGTAATTAAAACCATTTACACCTATCGTTCCTATTCAGAAACTTAGCAATTTGAATCGCAATAAAAAACTTTTCATCTTGGTCTATTCTTATTATCAGTATGTTAATTAAATATATCGATGGCGTTCTAACAATTTTGCTTTTAGAAAAATAGTTGTTATCAATAACTGCCCCACTTGAAGTTTAGTGTGCTCGTGGCCTAAACGGTAAAGCTAATAACTCGTTTTACATCATGAAACTTGGCTCTCCTCGATAATTTTCGATGATGAACTCTTCCGTAATAGCTAAACTGCGATTTGATGCGATATTGATGTTTCCTCACCTACTCTTCTTGTTTGTTTGAACACTTGAACGAGTTGAAGTTTAGTTTTCACTAATTTAGGTGTGATAAACTATAGCATATTGTTTTGTAAGTAATCAAGTTTTCAGAAACATTATAAAGTAGTAATAAAATCTAAAAATATGTTTTTGAATAAAACTTAGCGATTATTTAAGTAATAAAGGTGTTGGTTTTTCGGAAAAATAAAGTTGATTGTGTGGTACGAGTTGAAAAAT